TGCCTAAGATATTAGACAGTACTTTTTAATATATGTACTAGGAAGAAATCAACCAGTCCTCTTACCTCTCTGTCAATTTTATTTTATCTTCGTAAAATTGAAATAAGGAAAAGAAACAAAAAAATAAATACTAAGTATTTATACTTTATACTAAATAAATACTAAGTTATTGAACTGAAGTCTCTTTAAACGATATCCGCAGTAATTTCGTTACTAAAGAGTTTGGATGGGATTGAAACCGAAATGCTAATGATATGTTACATTTCTGCACCTCCTCTATTACCTTGACCGTGTTAAGATCATAGTAAAGTTTCTCATAGAAAATATATCCAGGGAGAGTCTATTATCTCACGAAGAACCTTTAACTGGAATAAATACTATTTTAGAATTGTCAAGATATTTCTAACGGAGCCAATAGATGCTTATGTAGCACACAACCAAATATATTATTAATGAGAACAGATGAGAATTCTGAATTTTGGTACTAAATATTGCACAGTAAAATAATGTTAATCTGAACAAATAAAATATATATATATATATATATATATATTGGGATGACTAATTGGTATAAATGTAAAAAAATTTTCATTAGTTCCGAAAATAAAAACAAACATATATGGTTACATTCCCATTACTATACCTATCCTAGACACTAAGTTCTATTCATTTCACTGCATCTGAAATGACTACAACCACTCGATAAGAATTTAAAACAAAATACAATTTTTTACTAAATAAACAAATGGAAACTTAAAGTAAATTCAAAGTTTTAATCCGTATCCATTAATCCGATTTCCTAGATACGCCAATTTGATTTCATACAATCAGTGAAATTTAGCAACGTCTTCCACAAAGTCATATGCAGCTTACTTCTTGAGATATAGATTCTTAAAATTGCTGCCATTTTACTATAACTACACTAACATCAACTACATACGCTATCTATTACCAACTGATATAATCTTCATATTGATTACACTAACAACGAATAACAATAAATAGAAGCGGCAGATGATAAGTGCGATATCTTAAAACTAATCTTTATTGACATAAAGCGTAGGAAAAAATGATGGCACCACTGTCATTACTAATTTCTGTTGCCAAATATGTGTTCCCGAGAAATCGGAACCATACCGAAATGCTCAAGAAAACGTTTAACCAAAATGTTCTTTATGGTTCACATAGACTTTATTCTAGTAGTTAGTGTTATATTAACTATTGTTAATATAAAATTGTGATATTAACAATATATAGTTCTTATAAGTCAGCCTTATTTGTTTAATAATATTCGCCAAAAACATTTTATTCATTTATGGTATATTCGTTCAGATTTTCAGGTTTGTCGGACGGAGAATGTTTGAGTGAAATTTTTTTTTAAAAAACACTATATAACTTGATATGTAATAAAATTCCATCACTTTCTCTCAATGGGTTCAATTTTTTTATTTGCTTGCTGGACCAAGAAATTAGTCCCCGCTTATAAACTATTTAATTGAGAAATATCCTCCTTAAAATTAAATTTAATATTTTATGAAGTTTTTTCTACTCTATATTTTTTATATAATAATTTTAAATTAGTATACAAATCCAGATTTAATTAGCTTTCCGCAGCATCATCTAATTACTCTTCTGATCCGTTTTCAAATTAACAAATTACAAAATTAAAAGTGGAATAAAATGACTTAAAAAAGGAGCAGAAAAACAATAGGAAATTAATATAGAAGGATCGCCGCCTCACCACCAAGAATTAAAAATGCAATCGTCATCGTCTCCACGTCTCAGTTGCTCAAGTGGCTTCATTTTGCCTGTAAACGTCGTCGTCATTGTTAACTTTAGAAAATTGCATTCAATCGAGCGGATTTTTATTGTCGAAATTAACTCATGAGGAAAATTCTATTATTGCAACGTATCCTGTACGCTTACATTGGTATTGGCGGCAACAGCATGAAAGTCCTTTCAGCTGCAATTCACTCGAATTAAATGCGATTTCGTTTTTTATTCTCATTTTCTTCTCGTTTTTTATTTACTTTATAAATGAAAACCATGTAAGGTGCACCTTCTGCTTTGTTTTTGGTTTTCATTATTTTGGTTATAAAACAAAAAGCCAAAAATAAAAGGAGTATTAAGTATTTCATTGCAAGTGCAAGGCGGGAGTCACATGCTCTTCCACATATGAATACATCCATGCTGGTTCTGCCATTGATGCCATTTGCAACATGTTGAAGTAACGTTGCATTAACTGCATTTGACTGGAAACTGATTGACAGTTCCTGCAAATGAAGCAACTTCAAATTGATTCACGTTTATATGCAGCAAATGGCAGCTTATGAAAGCAGCTCTTGAAGTTTATTTCGCTTATATTGAACCATAAAATGAAAGTATTATACTTTCCTAATTAGGTAATAGAAGATGATGGATGCAGAAGTATAGAGTAAAAAACTTATAACTTCATTGAATATCATTAGATTGCTTTAGAATTTAATGACATGAATGAATTAAGATTCGATTTCGTTTTTCGATATGATATGACTAAGCAAAATCATGGTATATATAATACTATGGAATATTTTAAGTAATTAGCGTGATATATTTCAGATATAAGTTCAACAATACGTAATATATGAAGTAACAAAAACATTTAAATTGAATTTATTTAAAGTAAAATTAATTAAAACTAATTAAAACAGATAATAATATCTTTCATATCAACAAATATATTATAATGATCAAGAAAAGTTTAAATTCAAACAACTTTTTAATTTTTATCTGGTGAATTAACAAATTAAACCCTTAGACCTTTCCAAAGACCACTGAAAATCAGGCCAGGCCAAGAATTTACTTGGTTATTAATTAAAATAATATATTATACATACAGTCCAACTTCCATAACTCGAACTTTAATAACTCGAGTTTTCTATAATAAATAGAGAGTTTTCTAAATAGAGTGCGACAGGGTTTAGAGAGAAAATTACATACAATTACAAAAAAATTCTTTAACTTAAAGTCTTCGTGAGTCGACCCTTATGGAAGTTTGACTGTATATGTTTAAAAAATATTATAATATTTTTGTTTTAATAACATTAATTAATTTTTATTAAAATACTTATTAGATTTCATATTCACTTATTTAAAATATATTTACATATTAACATTTAATACATATATCGTTCATAAAGATGCTTTGCATATCAAAGAGACCCAAAAGAAAAGTTCTAACTGACTTAATGATCATTAGTGCTTATTAAAGCCAACGCAAAGACATATTTTATTAGCAACTATGTTGTCCTTCATTCAGGCCACTGTCTATATATCCATTAATATGCCTTTGACATTTACTGATCAAAATTTTTCTCTGACATTTACTGATCAACTTTCACACAACTTTTTTATCATGCGATTTTGGTGCATTCGTATAATAATTTTGGGATTTTGGAAAAATTACCTGAGGTTGTCACCATGCTATAATCATTTAAATATTTAGCACAGAAACCAAGATATCTCGCAATTGTATAGTTTGCAATTTCATATATGTGCTACAGTATACCACATACATTTATATACGTTTCATTGCATATATTTTGAGAATAGAAGAGCTTTTTTTGTTTCAATGAAATTCATGAAAATAAAATAAAAAAAGCACGAAGAAAATGTCCATTGGATATTTCCAAAACTTCATCAAAAATTGTTAGTTAAAAATTACCAGTCTGAATATCTTGACAGTAAATGAAGAATAAGAATTCTTTAAGTATCTCAAATCTAGTAACTAGTAAACTTATAAACTAGTAAAATGTAATAACTGGAGCAATACTGTGATTTAAGTTAAACATTACTATCGCTATTTTAGGATGCATTAGAAAAATTTTTACCATTATTTTTTAGAATACAGAGCCAATGCATTGCCAGAGAACTGTCTGCGATCAATTTCTGTATTTGCCTCCTCTTCTATTTCGATTCAAATGACATTTCGATAATAGAAAGCCTCACAATTTTAGCATTTGTATGAAACTTCAACATTTCTCCCTCTATTGCTTTAATTAAGAATGAATCAACTTAAAATCCCTAGCATGGTCTTAACACCCTTATCACTTCAAGAGCCAATGGCGACTCAATCTTAAAATTATAAAATTAGTGCTTATTGAGTACATATGTATGAAAAGTATATTAGCTTATTAAATATATACATAAAAATCTTTTCAACTTTTAGTTGCATTCATAAAATATGAAGTGGGTGTGTCACAATAATCCTTAAAGGATGCAGTACTAAGTTCCCAACCCGTTTTTGAATCTAATCTAATCTAAAACTAAAACAAATAAACACAATGTCAGAATTGACAGAAACTTAATATTATCATTAAAAAATAAAACTGTATGAAGATACAGCTTATTGGCAAGGAGACACACAAGTGATAACAATATAATTAATGATAAACCAACATTTTAGACAAGGTATTAAGGCGCGTAGTAAATACTATACGCCATGCATCGGGACCTGTAAGTCGAAACCGAAACATTATAATAGATTTCCTGAGCTACAGCCTACTATCTTAAATATACAAATAAAAAACCCAACAACTTCTCTACATAACTGATGCACCCACTAAGAACGTACTTAACTCTCCAACATCACTAAATGCATTAAGATAGCATCAATGTATATCAGATCATTTTAACGTTTTCTTGATGTTAAGATCATATAATATTCCTAAACATCGTACATATATTGCAAATAGAATACGAAAGCTATTGCAAATGTAAAAAAAAATTTATAATGAAATATAGAGTTTTGTTAATTTTTTTTGGATGATGTTTTGCCCATGGAGATACATCCGCAGTAACATGAAATTTTTATCTTCAAAACATCACAGTTTTTTAAATGTGATATTTTTACTTGAAAATAATGCTATTAATTTCTAATCATGTCTTTCCGAGAAAAATCAATTTTTTTTATTTTTTAAAGTTTGTTTAATATCAGAAAATTTCTATATTAAAATCGAAATATTTAAAATATTTTTCGTACGCAATGCCGTATTGCAATGGATTTTTATCGAAAGTTCGAAACAAAATTACTTATTATATGGAACGTTTAGCAAACCGTCATCGTCACAATCATTCAATGATTACCCATTACAGGAGAAGGAACTACTTGGTATATAATTGGAATAATATTGCAGATTCATTCCATAACGATGTATTCAAACGCTTTTCGACAATATTGGAAAGGAGAGGAAACATTAAAAAGTTAGTATTTATTACCATTTGGAACAAAACATCGTTGAATTCAGTAAGAAGCCGAGTTGCGAAGTCTTATAGAACTATTGACCTTGCCAATGGCATTTCACGGCTACAAAGCAATAGTGAATTAATAGTTTATTTTATGCCTCAATATTTTTCTAATAGCAGTGAAATTTGGGTTGAAGAAATTTCGATGCACTCAACGCCAACAATTCAGTTAAATGAAATAATTGCCGGGCTTGCTAATTTACAACAGATCATCAGCATGACTAAAAAACACGGCTTTGTGGAGGATGCCACAGAAGTAGATAGTCGATACTATAAAATAACCTTTAGGAGGCGAGGTAAAGTCGTAGTCGTACTCATCTCAGATTATTTGATTTTGAAATATATATATTTAGACTTTTAAGGGTGTATTTGAAAGCAATCAACAGAAGTTATATATTGACGTCTACCAAATTTATTAAGTCATTCTTGGATTCTTAAAAGTTTCATTCGATGATATTGAAATCAAAAGGAGTAAGAAATATAAATTATTCCTTTTAACTACTATATGTTACTTCTTTCAGACCCAATGAAACAGACATACTAATTTTTCTGCACATACACGTATTCATTATGACTTTCCTGAGCCCAACTGGTGAAAAAATATGACTAATTAGATTGCTATACACGTATATTAGTTAAAAAGTTTTATTTTCAAGTAGCATCACATTATTTTTTATATTGTCTTTATTTTTAAAAAAATTTTTTTTTTAATTCTATTCATAAAGATATTAAACCATTTACTTAAATATATTTAAAATTTTTGAAAAATAAATAAAATGTATGGTTTTAGTTCAAAGCGGTCTAAGTATTTTTAAGTATTTTTCTTTAGTTCACGCAGCGAATTCTGTTTTATGACCTCTATGGTCTCAAAACGCATCTATGGTCCTCGCAAAGGCAATTTGAGTCGGGGTAAGAGGAAAAGGTCACACGGGGCCATATCTGGAGAGTACGGTACTTGATGCTTGGTTGATGATATTGGTAAAGTTTTTGGCCAAAAACTGCCACACAACCAACGCTGTGTAAGCCGGTGCGTTATCGTGGTGTAAAATCCATGAGTTTTCCTTCCATAAATCTGGCCTCTTTTTGCAAATGGCCTTACGCAAACGACGCATAACGGCAAAATAATACCTCTTATTGATCGTTTGACCATTTGACCATCCGGAAGGAATTCATAGTGCACCACACCACGAATATCGAAGAAAACAGTCAGCATAATCTTAATTTTGGACCGACTTTGGCGTTCTCTTTTCGGTTTCGGCTCACCTTCGAAGCACAATTCGGTCGATTGTGGTTTGGTGGGCATGTCAAATTCATAGATAGATGGACCCATGTCTCATCACCAGTTATGATGCGTTCGATGAATGTGGGGTCACTATCTGCGTTGGAAATCATCAATCATCTCTTTGGCCACATCACAGCGACGCGTTTTTCGAATGAAATTCAGCTAAAAATCGCCACACGAAAATTTTTCGACTTCTTTGCATAGACGCCAAACAAAAACTAATCGCACGATATGCGTTAAACTTTGACAGAATGTGTATAATAGTGTTGCCAGGGTGAAAATAAAAAAAATTTACCGATTGGATAAGCGCGGGAATTAAAAAAAAGAACAAATAAGTTCTTTTTTGATCACAAGGTATGTCAGTAGCAAACATGAATGGTCACTATAAAATAACTAACCTTATCAGAAATATCAATAGATTAAAGATTATTTATAAAAAATATTCGTAAATATTATTTTTGTAGATTTCTTCATAATTAATCAATTTTATAAAAAATAAAAGATTATTATTCCTTCATAAACATATCACCTTTTAATTCTCAGTATAAATGGCTCTTACCACTCAAAATAAACTTTGCTTAAAACTGAACTTTTCAGTCCCCAATCAATGTTATTATGTCAAAAGTTTTGTGAAAGCATGAAGCACCTGAAGTATTTAAAGTTCCAAAATAAAAGCAAATGTGACCATTGGACACATAAATTAAAGGAAATGGAACTACCAATAAAAGTTAAAATACAAACAAACCTATTTACATTATTAGCTAAATCATACCTATGAGTATGAAGTAAAACGAGGATGTGTGACGGAGTAAAAGCTAAAATACAAAAGTACTTAGAATTGCATATGAATAAATGTGACCAATACCACAGAAAACGCCAGCTAAGACCACATGTACCACATTGTTTTCGGAGTTTTCATTTATTTCAGATTAATTCCACACTTCACATTACTGCAGAACTCAACGCAACTTAGTTAATGCAATATAGTGAAGCTGGACACTGAACACCGAACACTACTCTGCCATAACAAAATTGTAAAACTGTGCTCTAGAACATTTGAATCCTTTATGAGGCATGGCAAGTCCAGTATGTTAGCACAGCCACACTTCAAAGTGGCTGACGGTATTCAGCAGACCAAAAACCATTGATTGTCATCGAATGATAGAATAAAAAACGTGAGTTTACATTGAGTATGAGTACATCTGAAATCTGCATCTGAATGTGGAATATACTCTGCTTAATTTGTATGTAAGCATAAATGCACACATGTGTACACATGTATTATCTGGTCATA